TGAATAGAGTTCATTAATTATGATTAATACTTTATATTAGGAAACAATCAAAACTTCTATGAAATCACATATTCATCAAATGAAATGGACGGTTGAGATTGGGTTGTATTGGTTGCACAAATGTCAAGGGTTGTATAATAATCAACCTCTATATATATATTATAGAATTGCAACATACCTTACCCCTCACATACCTAAATGAGTCAACCCCACTGCATCCATTACTGCTGGTCGGCAATTTTGAAATCTCGTAGATTTTCGTTGAGAACACCAATTTATTTCTTCTCAAGTCTTACGAAAGGGTGCAAATCATGTCTTCCATCCATAAAAGGAAAAATACGTTAAAGAAAATTATGATATTGATGTCCGTTTTGGTCCGTTTTTAGATATTTACGGATCGTTTATCAAATGTTTACTGGGTAAGTGTTTATCGGCAAGAGTTGCCTCCTTACCTTATCAATAACATTTTCGGTTATTAAAATTGATTGTTGATCAACATCTTTTACCCCATAAAACACTTACCATGTAAAAGTCTTCTATCACTCAAGATTCCGTTCCTACGTCGCCTGACCTCTTATCGGGTAAGAATCTTGGCCTTACCATATTCACCTGATAAAGTAAGTAACATCTGTTAAGCACTTACTCGTTAAGTGTTTGGTAAATAGCCGCTTAACCAGTGTAACTGTCATCGATTAAAATATGTATAAAATTAAACTTCTGTTACACTAATTAAGAAAAAAAAGTTATCATTATACATTTATACTAAATAAAAAACAACACAAACTTTATTATAAAATATTAAATAATGAAAGGTGATTTTATGGTAGATGGTTAATGACAAAAAGATACAAGAGCCAATGGGGGGCCATGTGTTTGCAAAAAGCAACCAGTGTCACACCCACATGGATGTGCCAACTACCAACCTTGCAAAATCTCTTGCAATTTATTGACCATTTCACATTGTTTTAATCTTCAATAATCAAACCCTCATTTATTTCTAAGTTTGTCCTCTTCCCCTTCTTTATTCTCAAGTCTTTCATCCTGCCCCACATCTTCAATACCATGTTACTCCACATTCCATGGTGGACCAACCCGGTTCGTTACCCGTTAGCCCATGCCGACTTCCGTATGATGGTGTAGTCGGCCGCTTGAGAAAGAGATGCGGACCGTAGTCAAGGTAGCCATTGGTATGTTGTTGTTACTTGTACTATATGACTTACAAGTTGGGCTATCGTACCCTTTTCAAGTTGTACTGAAAAGATCTGTTTTATAAGACGTCAAATATGTCTAAATGTCATAATAGACTATTCTATAGGAATTAAGTTTATAAGGTCAAACAATCATGCATCATATATAAATGTGTTATAAGTTGACAAAAACGTCACTATAAAGTCTCATGTTATAGCATCACCAACAGATTCTCCAAAATGGAGAAAATGGAGATTTTAGACAATTTTTTTCTCCAAAAGGTTCTCCATTTTGGAGATCCTCTTAGCCTTTTTGTAGCATACTAAAGTGTCATGCAAAAACACCTTTTTATTGGGATATTGCTTTTACAAGACATTTTTTCAAATAATGTCATATAAAAAAAAGAACTAATAAAATGTTTTATTTCAAAAGTCTTTTAAAAAACTTGTTTAGGACATTCTGAAGCGTCCTATCAACTTATTGTAACACTTTTACATAACACTTAAAGCAGACTATTATGACATTTAAACATGTTTGGTTTCCTATAAAACTGATTCTATTGCAAGTGAACTCTCACTTGACATCAGCTTCAGTGACTTGTACAGTGTGCTAACAGCATATAACTTCTCTGAGTATTTTGTTGTTACTTATTGTCTCAATAATGCATTACTGAGGCTTTTAAGACTTCAAAATCCCTCTCCCTCAACCACAAGAAACTCCCACTATCCACTCAAAACAACTCCTTTTCCCTCAGACTAAAAAAGCCAAGAGAATTATCAGCTTTGCTGACTTGTACATCATTCTTTGTGTTTGGTAGGTAGACGGAACCAGATAGAACTGGACGGAAGAGAGTTGGCTAGCTCCCTTATTTTTGTTCCATCTATTTTGGTTGTACAGAAAAAAGTGAATTTTTGTCCCTCCTGTTCCATGGGGACAAGTTTTATACTGTCCGGTCCCACATGCCAAACGCATACTCGCATAGCATGTTGTTGGTTGTACTGTACAAACCAACCATGCATTCCTAAGTCCTTTTAAGGCATCAAAATCCATTCTAACTCAAACATACTCCTCCAAAACATCCAATTTTCCCTCCAAATACTAAAGAAGCTAACAGAATGATCAACTTTGGTGACTTGTACAGTGTGCTAACTGCAGTTGTACCTCTTTACGTTACCATGTTCTTGGCTTACGCCTCCGTAAAATGGAACATTTTCTCACCACAGCAGTGTGGAGGTATCAACAGATTCGTAGCCATTTTCGCCGTCCCTCTTCTCTCCTTTGAGTTCATTTCCAGGATCAATCCTTACAAAATGAACCTCAAATTCATAGCAGCTGATGGTGTTTCAAAGGTTTTGACTCTAATAGTCTTGTTTTTGTGGACAAATTTGTCGAAAAAAGGAAGCTTAGATTGGGCTATCACGATGTTTTCGCTATCTACACTCCCAAACACACTAGTTATGGGAATTCCACTTCTAAAATCCATGTATGGTGATGATAAAGAATCGATAATGGTACAAGCTGTCGTTTTGCAGTGTATAATTTGGTACACCTTACTTTTGTTCTTGTTTGAATATAGGGAAGCTAAGAATTTGATACTAACAGCATATGAAAAAGATAGCAGCAATGGTAGTATTAGCAGTAGTAATAACAGTAACAGCCAAAGAAATGAAGGAAGCTTTCGAGAAGGTCAAGAAAGGGTTGAGAGAAGTACCTGTAATGAAGATGACATTGTTAATGTGATTCTTTCAACGCCTTCTAATCCGCATATGCTTCAGAATCTCAATAGGGTAGCACCTGCGCTTGCAAGTGCAGTAGAAGATGATAAAAGAGAGTTGCATTTGTTCATTTGGAGATGCAGGTGCTGCACTTCTCCAGGTAAGACTATAAACAAATTACCAAAAGGGTCATTGGCCCTGTGGTATCTGGATTACCGTAAATCCTAGCCTTCATGGAGGTCATGGGTTGAAGGGTATTTGCCGTATATAAATATTATACACTTCAAAAGAATAACAGAAATGAGTTAAATGACACATGAATTGAACAGGTGTATGTGAACAGTCGATAGAAGTATGCAGCAGAGAGAATGAGAAAGCAGAAAGTATGGAAGACCTAAATACCATTAGGTCTCCAGGATCACCAGAAATGTTGAAGAAAATCTTGAAAATGGTATGCTTTAAGCTAGTGAAGAACCCGAATTCGTATGCAAGCATACTCGGTCTGAGCTGGGCTCTGGCTTCTTGCAGGTAACTAGCACTTGATTCACAAGCATTTGAGTTCCAAAAGATCAAGATTGAAACTTTTTAACTTTTGTTTCTGTTTTCTGTGATATATACAGATGGGGAATAAAGAAGCCACAGATTCTAGAAAATTCAGTTACCATTCTCTCAGATGCAGGCCTAGGAATGGCTATGTTTAGTTTAGGTATGAATTGAAACCTAGTATGTTACATGAACTGCTTTCTTCAAGATTTCTTTAACATAGAACTGCTATTTATGGTGTTCAAGGTTTGTTCATGGCTTCACAACCGAAGCTTATAGCTTGTGGGAACAGATTAGCAGCATATGGAATGGTAGCAAGGTTTGTAGCTGGACCAGCTGTGATGGCAGTTGCATCTATAGCTGTCGGTTTAAGAGGCACTATCCTACAAGTTTCTATTGTACAAGCTTCTTTACCACAAGGGATTGTACCTTTTGTGTTCTCTCGGGAATACAACTTACATCCTGACGTTCTCAGCACCGCGTAAGTCACTGGTGTTTCACTGTTCCTTGTTACTTGCTCCGTCCCAAGATAAATGTCCATAATGAAAAAACACACCGTTCTAGGGATGTTTAAGCTTTTTAAACAAGTAGATGACAACTTCAACCTTAACGATAAGAGGGAGTAATGAATTTCTCCATTTCATAATTAAGGGCGGAATTGGGAAGTGGACACTTATTTCGGGACAAACTAAAATAGAAACGTGGACACTTATTTTGAGACGGAGAGAGTATATTGATCTCAACAATACTAATGTCGTTCGCTTCTCTACAGGGTGATATTTGGAATGATAATCTCTTTGCCTATCACAATGCTGTATTACATCTTGCTTGGTCTCTAAATGAAGCGAATGGCCGTGGGAGAACCAAAGAGTGGGAAGAATTGATCCATGAGTGTTCATTATATCAAGACAAGACAAAAGGCATACGATAACTACATATGTCAAACAAATTATCTGAAGTAAGATTTTCATTTCACAATGATGTCATGATAGTATGAGTAGCACAATGGTTAGTGTTAGGTGTCGTCATTTTACAGTTTATACTTCCATAAACTAATGCTCTAACATGACCATATCAGTTGGTCATAACTTTACGCTCTTTGGCAACTAACTCGAACCATAATTAATGTAGACAGATAAGTTTATTTTGCTTCATATTAATTACAAAGCTTATTCCTAGCTAATCTCAATCAATAGCAGATTGAAATGGGTCCCATCTCCATTCTCTCCTCATATAAAGCATCTTCTTACCTCCTAACACCATCTAACTGAAACCCACAAAATGCAAATGTTTTTAAGCCACAAAAATAGGATCAAAGCCCCAAAGGGTCATAGGACCAGTGTTATCCGGGTTACTGGTAGAGCTCAACCTCCCAAGAGGTCAAGGGTTCAAATCTCACCAAAAGTGTGAAATGTGGGTGAATATTTTCCGTGTATAAATATTATATACTTCAAAAAATATAGGAACTTAGAATTAAGGGATTCATCATTCGAGGGGAAGTAGACTACTCAAGAATATATCAGCTCGTTTTTAGGCCCCTACAAATGCATAAATTGCAACATCCATCTATACCTCACAGACTAAACACGTATTGGCTACAATCTCGACATGGACAGCGACTCTGGTTGGCATTTTACGTTAACGGTTCAACGGTGCAAGAATAAAGCATAAAGCAGATCATTAATTGCAGCTTGTTTGTTAAAACAACAGGGGACAAAGATACCCTCAGTTTCATGTGACCTGTTTTTTTCCAGACCAGAAACATGCAGGGACCCTTACATCCTGATCGAACTGATGGAGTAGTATATGTGAGGTAGATGGGCTTCTTTCTCTTCCTATATATATATATATATATATATATATATATATATATATATATATATATATTGAACAAGTTGCCAGCAATACAGACACGCTGTGAAAATGTAAAATGCAAAAAACAATCATTTTGCACGACATTTTTGTGTTCAAAATAACCAACTCATGCAAATTTGTAGTGTATGGCTTGCATTTTCCCAAAAACGATAGCTTGTGTGCTACAAGAAGTCAATAACCCAAAATTTGACAATGATTGGTAAGTTACAAAATGAGCCACGGTATATAGGACGAGTTACATACTTTGAAGCTAATTTATTACCCCTAGTTCTTGATTGTACTTCATGCATGAATGGTGGTACCTACACCTCATGCCCAGGCTTTAATGTTAAATGTAAGCTGTGAATTCACATACTGATCAAGAACCAGTCTCAATGTATGCTAATTTGACCAATTTGACAAGATATATGCCAAGTCTACATATAGATCACATACTCTACCTACTCAGGACCTTTTAGTGCCCATGGTCGATGATTTTACTGATGCATGAGTGGGGAAGAAATGATCAAAAGGTCTCATCATGTTTTCATGAAAAAATCTATGTCATGACATCAATCCATATACTTAATAAAGACATAAAATAATCCCTAACTGAAGTCAACAGTCATCCCACGATATAATAATTGAAGACCATCATATATATTCTCTCATGGTTAACATTATACAAGTAGAGGACTGATGTGTAAAGAGACATTTGTTCATGATTTGATAGATTTTAGGAAAGACAACTTAGTGAAGTTTTCTAACAATCTAAATGCATGTATATAGAATAAAACATGGTACAATATAGTGTACTCAAAGTTGCTTCCCATATTGACGATGTGCCCTTCAAAGCCATTTTCAGCTTGCCCTTTCTCAATCAACAGCTTGTTTTTGGAACCGTTAATTCAGTGTGTGAGTAGCAATACGTATAAAATAATTAAGCAAATATGGTACATGAATGAGCATTCCACATTTGGTACAAAGAGAGATCTAAGTACCGATGGAGCCTGAAACCAGCGTCCTGCATGAGTGGATGAGCAAAGCTACACAAGTGTCCATCCACACTGTGTGAGTACGCCACGACATAACCTGTCCTACCAATTTCAAAAAGCACAAAACTTCTATATTCGGCTGATGAAATACAACGTAACTCAATCCAACATTCTTTTTTCAATGTAATCGACTAGTAATTGATTAATTTCCAGTGAATGCTAACCCTGGGAACACATGTTAGGTGAGTGCATGGCGAACCTGAAGGGAAACAAGCTAACAGTATGCAACCCCCAATTCTGCAAACTATATATATATATTTAAAGTATATAATATTTATAAACGAAAATGAAACTCACACAAGCTTTTCATTTTTGGTGATATTGGAACCCTTGACCTCTACAAAGGTTGTGTCCAAGGATGGACCCGTGAATTTTTTTTATACGGTGGCACCATATAATGTTGACAAAAAATAATTACAAAAAGCACAGTTTTTATCGACGTGTCTTCATGTTTTTACTTATGTTTAATATCGCTCAATGTGTTTTTAGCCTAATTCCACCGTTTGAGGGATTTTTAAAGTTTTTTGGTTGACTTCGAGGAATTTTTTAGTTTTTTTTATCAACTTCGAGGAACTTTTTTAGTTTTTTCGGTTTTTTTTGGTTGATTTCAAGAGTTTTTTTGGTTTTTTGGTTGATTACGAGGTACGGTTGCATCTTCTTGAACTTTTAAATAACATACGGCGGCACCTTCTAAAACAATATGCTTATAAACGAAATGTTCCAAATGTTCTTATCTTTTGTGGATGCTTTAACAATTTATGGTATGGTCATAGCATTAGCACTTTTATCTTGCGCTCATGCTCCCTTCTGCCTTTGCACTCGAGGGTGCCTTGGATGATCCACATCTCAGGGTCAGGCGCCAGTGAACACATTGAACTATCCAAGGTGGCTAAGACCCTCACAGCCAAATCGGATATGTAATTATTGGAACAATTGTTGGAGATTCAAATGATAGATATGCAAGCATGATAACTTATATGTTGTTCTATATCTTCATGAATCTAGGCACAATTGCACCTTTCATAAACGCAAATTTTTTAACCTTTTGGCAGAGAGATAATACGGTGGAACACGCCACCATATGCCCTTCTATGGGTCCTGCATGGTTGTGTCACCGAATACCGCTGGGCTAATGGCCCTTTGGTAATTCTGCAAACTATTATTTGGGACATACAGCTTCACATCCCAACATCTGTGGTGAAACTGTGATAAAAAATCAAAATGTATTTCCTAGAACTATTAAACATCAGACATATTATTAAAATACCTTAAATCAATTGAAAGCAAGCATCACATAACTGTATACTCTTCAGGCCCTTCCTATATTCTTTCATGCGGCTAATCTAGGGCAAGATATCAGAAATTCAGAATTCGCAATGACTCGGGATAAGCATATAAAAGGGAACTTGACTCAAGCTTGCAAGAATTTTAATTATGCCCTGATGTTGGTTCGTGAAACTACAGAGTCACAAAATAAAGGAAAATTTAAAATCTAAAAGCATTAGTTTTTTGGTCCTAGGTAATATCATCAACCCTAATAGGGATGGGAATGGACCCCGACCCGTTGGGTAACCCAGTCCACCCGCCCCGGTCGGGGACGGGGATTCCCCGAAAAATCGGGTCTCGGGGACGGGGACGGGGATCCCCGCTTGGCGCTAGCCGGGGACGGGGACGGGGACGGGTATAGCACTCCCCGCCCCGCCCCGTACCCGTTTTTTTATATATATATTTTTTATGAATTTGGGCTTTGGGCTGTGAAATAAAAAAAGTAAATGCATCTTCTCCTTCCTCCAGTCCAGTCCATGAGTACGAA